TATCAAATTTATTTCAATAAAATAGTTTGGGAGTAAAAATCTATCTAAAGATAGTTTTCTATTTAAGATACATTAATAATTTAGTTTATTCAGCATGAAATGGAGCTTAGTTATGTAGCATGAGGCTGTATATTCTGCAATATTGGGACTGTTGGTGAGTCAGCAGCGGGTCAGAGGAGGAGTCCTGCAGGACAGAGATGACAGTTGCCCTTTAAAAATTATGATTTAAATCGAGCTGATTTAAATCAAGACTTTTTACTAGTGATTTAAATCCTGATTTAAATTGATTTGATTTAAATCAAATCCATCCTGATCTCAAGACATGGGAAAAGACCAGTGGTGAAATGTAAAATTTGTTACTACCGGTTCTGTGGGTGTGGTTTAGTGGGGGTAATGTGACTGGGTGGGTGTGGCCAACTTTTTTTTTTTTTACTTTTAAAAGCATTTTTTCTACAACCTCTTCGGTCAAAGAGATTGTAAAAACATGCTTTTAAAAGGCTCTGACGATCAGGCAACTCAGGCAACTGTTTTTATTTAAAAACATTGGAAAATGAGCTAGCAAATAAAACAAAAGGTTAGAGTGTGTATTTTTCTTTAAAACCTCTATAAATACCTGTTTGTAGTCATGATGATAAAATCTCAATAGCATTATTTCATTATTCTGACTATTGGCCAGGACGATATAAAAGCATAAATTGAAGAAAACTGAAGAAAATATACAAAATGTAAGGTTACATCTAGCAAAAATTAAATAAAATGTATCATTTTTTCTGAAACATATACAATTTAACAGATGAAAGCAAAAATAGATTTTGTGTCCATCAACAAAGTTAGACAATCATTGAGCTGATGTTTGTGTGCTATGCTGCTTATCTGTGTGCCACATGAAAACAGATTCAGTAGTAACCCAAGGAAAAAAAGAACTAGGAATTTGTTCCAGTCAAACCCATATTTTCTACACTTCCTTAGTCATCATGTTTAAGTTTGTGCAACTCAGGTTACTAAAATACCACATTTTCAGGTTTCTTGAAAAAAACATTTTTGGTTATAAATTCTGAACAGTCTCCAAAGTTTTAAAATAAAATAAATGTTTTAATCTCTTGATTTATTTTATGACAAACATCATCATAGTAGAACAGCACTACTTCTATACAGTAGTAATACATTGCCCTTCAAAAGGTGTCCTACAAGTGAAACAACCGAAGATGTTTTTTAATAGATATTTCCTACCATGAAAGTTTAACTGACAAACTCCACTGATGAAAAAACTTGTAGGATATACAGGTAGTCCTTGACTTACAACCGCAATCAAGCCCAAAATTTATGTAGCGAGACATTTGTTAAGTAGGTTTTTCCCCATTTTACAACCCTTCTTGCTACAGTCGTTAATCAGTGCACTTGTTAAATTAGTAACATTTGCTTTTCAGAAGGTCGCAAAAGTTGATCACATGACCCTGATAACACGGCACCTGTTATAAATATGACTCAATTGCCAGCATCTGAATTTTGATCACATGATCATGGAGATGCTGTAATGGTCATAAGTATGAAAAACGGTCACAAGTCACTTTTTTCAATGCTGTTGTAATTTTGAATAGTCACTAAATGAACTGTTATGAGGACTATTTGTACAGCAACTTTCAAGGTAAAGAGGCTGAGACTTAATCTACCCATTTGTCTGTCTATCAGTATTATTATAACTGAATAGAGTACGACAAAGTACAGAGTACAGTACAGTATAGTGGAGACGCTGCCAAAGAAAATGTAGGTTTCAAAATAAACAAAATCTTGGTGGAAGCTACAGAGAAAAAATCCTGAAAAATTCCCTACAGCGCATCCCTATGAGAGAGACAGGTGGAAAGCATTGCAGAACATTGATGACTCCATCATTGTAAGCACTCTTTACTGGTCATGTGACCCAGAATGGATTACTGTACTACAGTATAGTAATCTACTCTATGTTTCCCTATATACACACAGATGTAACACAAAGGAAAAATTCAGAAAAATTGAACGCATTATTCATTATGCAGAATACAGTGCCTCTTACGGCCTTTGAAAGAGAGTTCGGAAAGAATTTCAGAATTCATGCTCTACATACTTTCCCTACTTTGTTTTATAAGACATAAATGGTTTTACACAGCTATTGACTGAAATAAGTATTTTCTATCCAGAAGTTTCATATGCAGCATCACACAATAGATAATGCAAAGCATTTTTTAGCAGATACAAAATGAGTATAATAGAAGAAATGTACCAATTGTTTTTGGCAATGCTTGTATTTTCATAACATCTTCAGTGATTATAGGAAAATAATTGTCGGCTTTAATCCTATGCACTCTTAAAGGAATTTATTCCTGGGTAAACATGTAAAGGATTATACTGGAATGTATGAAAGAAATTTCTAAATCCATGGATGAATTTAGAGAATGGTAGAGAAATAAGTGCATTCTCAAGTATTGGTGAAAGAAAAAGATGAAAGCAATCCACTGGAAAAGCTATTTTTTGGCCACATCTTATAAGACAGGGTACAAATAATTTATTACAGCTGTTTATCATTTTGATTTTGTGAAAAGATTAAAATATAACTGCATTGACCTTTAATATTTTTGTTAAGGCACTACCCAAAGAAACCCAGGCATAGTTCTTTTTTCCAATTATGCAATGCAAAAAGAGAGGGAAGTCACATAAACCTCACTAATGAGCAGTAATTGGGGGGGGGGGAATCAGACTGCAAGGATTCAAACTTATGATGCATTCAAAAATCTTGCATTCCAATTAAGAAAGATCCTTGGTACAAATTAATATAAGAATCAAATGTCTAGTCCATTTCACTATTTGTTGCAACTGATTAGGACAGTGAGAACTGAAGCCCTAAATATTTAGAGTATTTCTCCTCCAGCATAGCTCTTCAGCATAAGGACTGAGGAACAAATCTTGTGTTTTTGTTTTGGCATTTGATTTTTGGTTTTCACAACTTAAAAAAGCTGTATAGAAATTAACATTAAGCTACTATTTTACATTATGAGAGTCTAGCCCCTTCCTAGGTTCATACATTTCCAGTCCTTGCTTCAAGTCTAGATGAATTGTTTTGCATAATCATGGATCTGCTTAATGTCTAGATGAATGATAACTTAATAAGATATATTAGTATTTGTATACTATATTGTTTATTTCATTATTAATATATTTTGGCCAGGTTGAGATATGAAACAGTTCCAATACCAAAACACAGCGAACTTAAGAAATAAAATCCTCTGGATTACTAACAATTATGGACTGAGAGACTCCTGGGAAGGTTAAATGCATTTGTATGGGCCAATCTGTGGCTTAATATCATACCTTTGATAAAATAATTAAATCTCTCATGTCTGAATGTTTTATATTTTAATATGAGATAACTACAGTTAATGCAGGAATCTAACCCAACATTTACAAAAGTTGGAACAGTGAAAGGAGAATAAATAGCATCCATTTTTGTTCCCATTTTTTCACCTAAGTTTCTGCTTAATGGAGAAATGTTATTACACAAAGGTATGCAGAGCAAATACACAAAGGTGTGTTTGCATATACTGAAATAAAAAACTCACCTGCAATAGCCAGAATTCAGCACTAGCTATTGGTTCCAGGAAGCAATGCTATTTTAGGTAAACAATCTTGTGATAATGCAATACAATCTTCATATATTGAGCAAAAAGCTTCCTTCCAGAACAGGACATTTGCATAATATCAAAGTATGTTTATATTAGTATTGCATCATTTCATTTTTAAACCCAACCTTGTGAAACTGATATCCCTCCTTTAGTCCAGAAAAATCACCTGAATGTTTCAATCCTAAATTCCTTTATCTAGTAGAATAATTTCTAATTCTCCTCCCAATCATCCATTTCAGATAACAGATTCAGTTATATTTTATGTCTTATGAATTCCAGCAAAAGGTCCAGCAGTTATTTTGTAAATATATTTATACCCTTTAGATTCAAGTGCCCTTTCAATTATAAGCAGTTGCTCCCTCCTCCCAGCACTCAAAAAAATTTAACACCCAAACCTCTAATCTTGATCCTGTCCTTAAAACTCAATGGGATTTCCAAGTTAGCACATTCTACTACTGGAACAAAGCACAAACCCAGGGAGCAATTAATCCCTTTACAAGTTTTAGAAAAGATTCCTGACCTTACAAGCTTGAAGAAACCAAAAAGAACCAACACCATGCATAGCAGGCACCGGCCTAGCCTGAACAGAGAAGTCTAACTGTTGCTTTTCTCCATAACAGGATGCTCAATCACCAGAAGGCAAAACTGGAAGGGTTGTGAAAGAAAGGACATTAAACGCTCGGATTCTTTCAGGCAAGCCAACCCAGCTCGTGTCCTTCTCCCTCGTTAAAGGACACCTACAGAATCTGCACGAAGTACTTTTCTTCCTGATCTTTTTTGGGGGGTCGGGGTGGGGGGGGGAAGGGAAGAGGGGTGTTGGAATACAAATCGTGGCGTGCTTATAAGCCCGGGCAATGATTGTTCCAGAACATTTCTTCGACATATATATATATATATATATATAAAAAAAATCACCCATCGCAACAACTTCCCCGAGCCGTGGACTCGTCTACCCCTTCGGCCGCCCCCCAACCGGCCACTTTGAAAAGCGCGGCGAGCGACAAGGCGACCAGCCCCACACATCCTGAGGTGCTGAATGAGAAGGGTCTCGACCGTCGCCCCTTCCCCATTTCCTACCTCTTATTGGTCGGGAGTTGCGTGAAGGGTGTGTGTGTGGGGGGGAATCATTCGGCGAAGGCTGTGGATTAAAGACAACAGCCTCCCTCCACCTGTTCGGGAAAGCCAGGGCTGGAGCTGGCCACGGGTGCAAGAGCCCTTCCAACCACCGCCGCGGCTGAAGCCATGTCTCCCCTTGGCCGCGCAACCTCCACCTTCACCAATGAGCCTCCCCGCTTCTCCTTGGCGCCAACCCGTCCTCCCCCCTCCCCACCCCACTCCTCCCCTCACCACGCAGCTCCCCAGCAGGCCAGGCTCGGGTTCCGTGGGCAGCTCGGAGAAAGGCCTCCTCCTCCTCCTCCTCCGGCAGCCGGAGTCTCCCGCACACCCACCTCCAGCGACCGAGAAACCGGGCTTGCCGCAGGCGACGAGGTTCCAAAAAGCCGAGCCGGACTCCGAGGCAATCCGGCGCGGGAGGGACTAAGCTGCGGCGGCGGCAAGAGCCAATTGCCTGGCGCTCTCGAGCTCGGCTCAGCCCGGGGCGTCCGCGCTCCTGCCCCAGTTGCGCCTCTGCGCCGCAGGGCAGCAGCGCCTCCCGACGGGCACGCGACCGGTTTGGTCGCCAGGTTGCAGCACCCGCCGCTTCCTCCTCCTCCTCCTCTTCTTCCTCCTCCTCCCGACGCCAAGTCCCGAGCTGGGCTTCCCTTTTTTCCTCCGGCCCTGTTATGGGGAGAAATCTCCACCACGTAGAAGCCAGAGCCGCCCGCCAGCCCGCCTCCTCGAAGCTCAGCGAAAAAGCCTCGGCGGGCCTCGTGCTCTTTTCCTCCTTGCCAGCTCCCAATCTGGGCTGGAGGGAGGGAAGGAAAGAAGGAAGGAAAAGCCAGAAGCCAGCGACCCAAAACTAAGCGGCCGTCTTAGGCCCTTCCCGTGGCCCGGCGGCTGCACCGAGGCTCTTCCTCGTTCCTCGCGCACCCCCCCCCACCCCCTTCACTTTCTTTGGCGTCGCCTCCGGTTCTCGTCCTCTCTCGGCTCCCCGCCTTTCACGCGCCAAAGGTTTACCTGGGAGGTCCCACTCAGACCGTGGCCTGTCAGTTTGATCCGGCTTCGGGTTGAAGAAATTGTTAGGTCCAACTTGATCTCTCCTCTCCGCGCAGTCTCGGAGGTGGACTCTGTGCTCTCCCATGATTGCTTACTTGTAAAATCCACAATGGTATCTTGAAGGCGAGCAAAATTTGTGATGCCTCAACCTTTAGTCCATTTCCTCCAGTGTATCTTTTCATACATCTATTTTCTCTCTCACTCTCTCTCTCTCTCTCTCACACACACACTCCCTCAAAGTGTGTGTGTGTGTGTGAGAGAGAGATCTTAACTTTTTGTTTTGAGGACCTGAACAGTTTAATTGGCACAATTATCTTGACCAATTTTCTTGGGTTATTAACCATTTTTTTTTAATTCTTCACAATTCTGCTTCTCCAAAGTTAGGACTCAAGAGGCTGACATTTAGTATTGGGCATGGAAAGCATTGGTTTGTAGGATGCCATTTGTAAGCCTTCCCATGAATTTTCAAAAGCTGTAATCTTGCTCTAACATGAGCCCCTGGGAAAAATGGTTTTTTTCTTCTTCAGCCCCACACTTCAGATAGGATTTGGGGGTGGAACAAAGAAGAGCTTCGTGCATCTCTTTGAAAAGAATCAAATCTTGAAAATCTGGGATGAAGCAAATGCCCTTTTAGGAACCCTTCAAAGATACAAATTGTGATTTTTTATGTAATCTATTTTAGCTGCCACGTTTTTTTTTTCTTCAGTGCTTTAATAATGGCTTGCTCAAGATCTAAACATCCTGTGAGCAATCTGGATTTTGGTACTGAAACCGAAGGTCATAGCTATCATAAAAACGGTAATAAAAAAGACACCTCTAAAATCTAGTAAACAGGAAGGATAATGTACAAGGTTGGTCATATGACTTGGTTAGTTTTTGCACCTGAACAGGTAAATCACAACCTATATTGTCTTTAGATCACTTGGTCTATATAGCAAAAAAACGGTGGCAAACTGTTCTTTCAAAATAGATGCCTTAAGCCACCTTTAGTACTCCCACCCTCTAAAGTAAAATGCTAGGAGATTGTGACTTGTACCTTATTTTCCTTTTGCATATATGCTTTGAATTGTGTATATTCAGTATTTAATCATTTTGAATTTTTTTTTATAAATATTCAGAAGTTATACCATCCAAATAGGTTGCATTAAAGTAAGAGATCTTTACAATGGTTATTCTGAATTTCAATTCCAAGCATCAATAAATGCATTTTAAAGCAATGTAGTAAGGCTTTGCGCAGTTCTCTCAATGTGACAATTTGGGTTGGGGCCTACTATAAACCCTGTATACACATTGGCTAAGCCACTTATAAGCCATGGTTTAAAATTCACCATAATGATTGCAGTATAGCCTAATTCCAAAGTATTGTGAGAAATCCTAGTACAGGGTACACACACACACACACATCACAGATACAGATATAAAATAAATATACAATAGCTTCAGAAAAGTAGAAGAGAGACCTTTTAGGGAATATTGGCAAATTTCCTCCCTAAAGGAGGAAGACAAAACTGCTCCTATTGATCTTGCTTTGGAGTAAAATATGAAGCATAGTTTTAACACAAAATACAAATTCAGCAATTTTAGGCAGCATTTGCAGATTCTTATTGCATCAGAATAACAGAACCTGAGAGCTATGAAGTAAGTAGTGATTTGCACTAAATAAGTATGCATGTTTGGATTTAAATGCCATATATGCTCCTTAAGTTACCTCTTGAAACAAGCTAGCACTAACATTGATTCCACAAGGGTATTTGTTGTTTAGTAATTATTTCTAGTGATCAGCCTCTAGTAATTCTAATAAGCTTTACTCAATAGGTTTGTGCTTCTTATCATAATTGGACTTTGTTCTTGCTGTCATAGAGCTGAGGAAAAGCAATTAAAGATAAGTGCAAGGGGAAGTTCTAAATAGAATATAAATTGTTCTTTTTAGTTTCTTTTATCCATTTTGACCCCAAGAGGCTCCTTGCCTTACATATATGGATTTTTAGAAATTAATACATGGTTTTATAGACAAAACACACTGTTGTAGAAGATAATTTCTCCTTTTGACACAGTTCTGTACACTTTCATTGATAGCCATTTGTTACATTAGTTGTTAAGATGGTAACTTTTTTTTTAAAAGACTCAAACAAGTGCCCTGCATCTTTCCAACACTTTTTTTAGTTCAACTGATTACAAAGGGCACTTCAAAATACAGTCTGTAAAACTGGTGCTTTGATCTATAATACTCTTTCTTTGAGGTACAATTACTTATTTTGATGAGAAAGCTTTGGAAAGAAACAATTTGTGCATTGGATCTAAAACCGTGTTTGCAAAATTTTTGTTTATTTCATCAAAGCAGTTCCTCTCATTAGACTTTCAACTGGAAAGTTTTAGATATCACTAAGAAGATATACAGCAGATAGGAGAGCAGTGGCCTAATTTTTTAAGTGTTTTTAAGTGTTTTGTTCATTGTTTTTAATTAATGGGGCCAAATTTATATATGTATATTTTAACTGTATTTTAATATTTGTACTTGATGTTTTTACTTGGCTGTTCACCGCCCTGAGTCCTCAGGGAGAAGGGCGGTATACAAATTCAAAATAAATAAATAAATAAATAAATTTACATTTCTGTAAATAAAAATGTCCTAGAATGGGTGTGTTAAAAAAATTAATGTAGTGGCAATATTCTTCTTAAACTTCCTTTTTGCTTAGAAATGTTTTTCTAACATATGAGGTTAATATAGTACGGCAGCAAAAAAATTCTCATAATATGCAGAACACATTAACAGTCTTCCCTAATCTATGCTCCACCGGTGGTCCCAATACATCTTGACAGTGTCGGATTAAGAAAGCCAAAGCTGCTAAAAAAAACAACAACAATACAGTCCTAGGCTGCATTAACAGAGGAATGGATCAAGATCACATGAAATGTTAGTACCACTTTCTAATGCCATAGTAAGACCGTATTTGGAATATTGCATCCAGTTTTGGTCACCACAATATAAAAAAGATATTGACTCTAGAAAGAGTGCATAGAAGATCAACAAAGATTGGAGGCTAAAACATATGAAGAACCTTGCAGGAATTGGGTAATCTGGTTTAATGAAAAGAAGGATTAGGAGTGACATGATGGAAACTAGTCAAGGAGAGAACCAACCTAGAACTAAGGAGAAATTTCCTGACAGAACAATTATTCAGTGGAACAATTTTCCTCCAGAAGTTGTGAGTGCTCCATAACAGGAGATTTTTAAGAAGAGATTGGACAGCCATTTGTCTGAAATGGTATAGAGTTTCCTGCTTGAGCAGGGGGTTGAACTAGAAGATCTCCAAGGTCCCTTCCAACTCTGTTATTTGTTTTGTTTTGTTTTTATGCAGAACAGGGGTGTCAACCTTTGGCCTGCCAGGGCTGCATTGAGTGAAGAGGAATTGTCTTGGGCTACATATAAAATACAGCTGTCCAGGGCCGCAAATGTCCCTGGACATTCCAGGTATAGAAGGTAGATGATAAAGCATAATGCAGAGCTTACCCAATAGTCATATTCTACTTCTGGGCCTAATGTTAACCAAACATTCACAGTTTAACTTAACCATTAGTTTAGAGTCTAGTATGTTATATAAAGCTGGAAAATTGGATTAATTGAGTGAGCCATTGTTTAGTTAACTATAGGTGAGTGTAATTTGTCAGCACGGTCCCAGTGTGGAGCCAAATAGTATTTCTAGTGAACATTTTAATGGTCCTATCAATGTGACTAAGTATGGCACAAAGAAAATGTTCATATCTTCTCCTTTCAAGTCAATATTAAATATTGCTGTCACAGTAACAACTGGATGATCTTTTTACTACTCACTAATGAGTGCAGTTAATTTCTTGATATCATAAAGACATAAATAGAATATGGAACATAAATTACAGAAACTATATACTTATAGCATGAAGGTGTAGTTGAATTATATTTTCCAAATTTGTTATAATCTTATCTTTAGCTAAGGCAATAATATTTGGAGGACATTTACCTAGAGAGGACCATTCTATAAATCACCCAAAGTCACAAAGTGAGCCACCAAGTGTCCATTAACTAAGACAGATGGAATTAAAATTTAATTTAAGCCATAGACTTTGTGATGCATTTGTAATTATTCCAAATTCTTATGGTCAATCCATGTAGGGCATTCTACATGTGTAAGAAGTTGCTGCTAAACCTGAAATTCTTTCTTGATGGCCAAGACTAGCATTTTGCTAGAAACATCACAATTCCTTACAACTGAAAGGAGCTTTCTGAAAAGAAAAGAGCTGGAGAGGAGACTGCCCTCAAGCTATGGAGAAGATTGTAAAAGCATAGCTCTCTTGATAAAATCTGCATGCAATGGGGCAACAGGATCTAAATGACAAAGGAGGTGCTGAAATAAATGCCTGTTAAAGAAGGATTTTTACCACTGGAAAAATCTTAAAAGAAACAGTTTTTCTCATATTTGTTATCTCTTGCATTCCTAATTCCAAGATCAAACAGGTTTGACCATAATCACATAAACCAAATCTTTCTCCAATCTCTATTTTACATCCAAAAAACTTTGACATATGCCCTATCCTGTGATATCCTGTGGATCAGAAGTCTTTCTTTAACAGATTAAATCCAGGCTCAGCAAATGCAGGAATCATCCTTTCCACAAAACTCAGAAGAAGATCAGGTTTATTGGACCTTCCCTGTAATTGCACAGATCATTTTGTTGCCTTTTATCTGCAGCTCCTAGCCACGCTGCAAATACATCTAATTTTCTACAATTGTCTCCTGAAATGATCCTCTTTGAGCACATCCAGTCTCATCACTCCCACATCTCACTTAGAAGGACTGAGGAAGAAGTTGAAACATAATTTAGATTCTCAGGCAGGAGAGCAGTCTGG